ATCTTCCTGCAAATCTTTCACTGTTCTGAGAAAGGCAAATTTGCTAATTTGCTAAAATACCTCCCAATGTGTGCCTTTTTGCTCAATTCACCGGATGTGAAAATTGAATTTGTTATTTTATTTCTTCGTTTTCTTTCAGAAGTTCAAGTTGGTGTATCGAGCACTCCCTCTTCCTTTCCCCCACAAAATGGAGTTGGTTGAATCTTGGTTTCCCAAGTTTCATTGAAGTAAAATATTGTCTCAGGCTCCTAAAGTATCCTAAGATCATGTCAGTGAAATGTAGTAAAGGAGAGATTGAGATCCACCTATAGATCCTGTACATTAACACGTACAATTTCAACATTGTATAATTCTACATAATTTTTAAAATAAAATTATATCACAACTAACTTAAGGAGGAAGCGCTTAATGTTGTGACTTCAGTATGGTCAGTTGAGCAGGAAACTTGCCAAATATAAATTTTTTTATACATGAAATCCTGTTTTTTAATCCTATTTGGCACGAGCTCTGCAATGTATGTAGGTTGTAGCCAATCCAAAGTGTGAAATTTGATTTAATATGATTTTTTAAAAATTGATACCAGGTTCCATTTAATATGCAAAATTCAATTAGTGTGAGACTAGCATGCACATGGTTGACGCTAGCACATGCACAGTAGTGCTGGGTTTTTAGATGCTACTTGAGTGTGCAAAATGGAGAAAGGTTTCTATTTGAGGAAAACTTAAAAAAAAGGCTTATTTTGAAGAACCACAGCAGAATACTGAAGTAATGGCATTAATCGAGATCTACCTATAGAGATTACTCCTAAATTCTCTGAATACCGTAAGTCTGTACTAAAAATTGGTATGATTTGTCCCTGAAGTTTCCTTTGTCAAGTAAGTCATTTTCATAACAATTGCCCAGCTTATATAGAACTGGAAGATTCTTTTTTTTTTTTTTTAAAGAAATTTTATTGGTTTTTTAGTTTTTAAAACAAAATGCTCAAGACACACCGTGGTGTTAGGGTAGTCAAACATCCAGAGACAAAACATATATACATAATTCAGTCAATACATCTAGTATTCCCTCTCTTTTTCCCTTAAATAACATAATTTATTTAGAATAGTCCAATTCTAGCTTAAGTTTATTCAACCTATACCTGATTTTAGAGCTTTAAAAATTTCCACTACCATAATCAAGTTAGCTTTAAGTACAAATATTATCAATTCGGGTATCCCTTAGAACTGGAAGATTCTTAATGAAACTCTCCCAAACTTTAAAAGTTTCTCGTACACAAAACTCCTTGTAACTACTTTCTCAATAGAGGATTTTTTTTCTGTCCATAACAGGCAACAGAATCTGCAAGCAGTGTTAAGTATAATTGCTAAACATACACCTGTTTCTTGATTTTTCAATGATAGTTGAATGGGGAAGTACCAAAATTTGATTTTTAAGATGGCTTCTGAATTGTGCAAGCATTATCTGAATTAAATTGTATGTTAGGTCTCAGCCCTAACAGAATCCAGTACAGTGTGTTTTGAAAGATTTTCTGATCTTTTCTCCCAGATGTTCTGTTTGTTTGTTGTTTTAAAATACTTAGCAATTGGATTATAGTATGCAGTTAAATGTTATCAAATCTTGATGTTGACTAAGAGCAATGTAGTTGTTAATCATTCATTCTGATTTCTGACATGGAAGATGAAATATATCAGCACGAAGAAATAAATACAAATTTGCTACTGACAATATCTTATGTTATAATATGAAATTAGATATGGCATCTGGATACCTGAATCAAATCCTTCTTCAGAGAATAAAGGAGTGCTTGCTTCCCGGGTAAAGTTTTTCTGGGTATTTAAGGAAGACTGGAATATTTGCATCCAAAAGTAGACTTTCAGAAAAATCGACTCTGGAAGAAAATTAGTAATTTTCAGATGCTACGCAAACAGCAGTTTGGATGGAATAGAAATTATTTGGGTATATTATAATCAATAATTTACATGGTATAAAAATATTTGCTAATTCAGTTCTGTTTCTGAATACTCAGAGACCATCAAGTAATATTCATTTATACTGCAATATTGCATGTTCATTTATATTGTCTTGATTTAGATGAGGAGAGATGTATGTGCTTCACCCTTACAATTAAGGAGGAACTTTCACATGCAGAATTTTGTATACTGCTTATCAAGATAACTTAATTTTACTTATGCAAATTTATTCTTCTTCACATCTTTGTTTTCTAGTATTAGTATTAGAACAGCTAAAAAATTACACATATTTTTATGAATCCTATCTTGATACCTGACCTTTAACTAAGCATCTTCTCTTAATTGCAACTACTATTACAAAAACACTACTATAAAAAGTGCTTTTACAGTAAAATCTGCTGCCGGGATACTATTATAATTGTGGACTACAAACGCAACATAGATACTAAGCAAAGAGTATTAATTAAAACAATTTTTAAGCTGGGAGTTCTATGCTTTTTTTTTTAGATTGATATATAAATTATAATTGAGAACATTCAGATATTTATTGCATAACATAGAAATAAGGTATAAGGATAAATTAGTTTACTGACACTTTCAAGTTTGCTCAGGTTGCATTTGGAAAGATTCATCCATAATCTTTGGGTTATATTATTTAACATTTGTTTTAATCAATGAATTAAAGGGGGTTTTGGGGGGGGGATTAAAAATTTAAAGAAAAGTACTTAAATAAGATATATATTAGAGGTGTGTTAGCCCATCCAACATACAAAATGTATCTTATATAATAATGGGATCCTGAAATTTATTTGTACCTCTTCTGAGAACAGATTGTTTTTCAGATCTCATTTAATTTATTATAGCTCATTGTTGTCACATTAGACTTGTCAATTTTAATTAGCACATCTGGCAGTACATTGTTTTCACACACTTGGTTCTTAGATGACAGGCATTTAGAACTTGCCCTAAAGGTTCATTTGCTATTTTATGTGAATTCATCTTCACTTACATCTCCTTTAAAACATTATGGAGTTCTCTGTTTGATTGAAATCAACTATACAATATATATTGTAGTATTTTTTGTACCTTAGCCCCATTAAAATCTTTATGTTTAATATAACTCATAGGGAAGAATCTAGTTGCCTTTGCTATTAATCCTGATCATACTGCCTCAAACACTGTAAAGCTTTATTGAATGATGAATGACTAATCAGAAAATATACTTTGCCTTGGGCAAGAAACTGTATTGTTGCCTAGCTTTTCCCATGCATAAATTTCAAACTTTCCTTTTATAAAACATTAACAAGTTTAATTAACAAAGAAATTGCTCTGTTTTAAAAATATGGTTTCTGCTTCTTCCAGGAGCAAACTGTAAATATTCAGATTCTATCAATATCTGTAATATTTGTTGCAATAACTGACACAATTCTCACAGGAGAAAATATACACCTTGTTCCTTTTACTATTGATTATTTTATAGGAATAACCGTATCTTTCATAAGTTAAAGCGAACAGGCATATGCTCTTACTGTGAAGGTCATTTTCTTAGAAGTCGATTGAACTGGAGGTTACAGGAATGGGGATTGATATATATGCAAAGATTTGTATAACAAATATATTAAAGCAGAAATATATACACATTGTCCTCTTAACAGTAATCCAGTGAAATAAAACACTAATAAGACTTTTAATAGTACATCACTATGTTTTTAATTGGAATTACAAAATGGATATTAGAGATTCATAATCGTCTATAGACACTGGACATTTTGGTAAACATTAAGGTATTCAATTTTGATTGTAATCACAAATGTGGTAGGAACTGTACTGCTTTTAGATAAAGTAGACCTCAACAGTATCGTACTACTGGTACTCCTTGACTTGCAACCACAATTGGAATTTTGGTCGCTAAACAATGCAGCCATTAAGCGAGCCATCATGTAATTGGACCAAATTTTCAGCCATTTTTGCTACGGTTGTTAAGTATATCACACAGTTAAGCTGCAATCATTGTAAAGGCAAGCCAGTTGCCAAGCATTCAAATCACAATCAGATAACCGCGAGGGTAGTACAACTATTTTGACCAGAAATATTGAGAGCTGTAATATTAATTATGTAATATAAATTTTAGAAATCAATAAAAAACCTAAAATAATATTCATCTAGGTCAGGGGTCTTCAAACTTGGCCCTTTTATGACTTGTGGACTCCAACTCCCAGAAGTCATAAAAGGGCCAAGTTTGAAGACCCCTGATCTAGGTGAATGTAATACAGGCAGTCCTTGACTTACAACCATTCGTTAGTGACTCTTCCAAGTTACAACAACACTGCAAAAAGTGACTAATGACTGTTTTTTCACACTTACGACCGTTGCAGCATCCCCTGTGGTCACATATCAAAAGTCAAATGCTCAGGGTGGTTGTAGTGTGCTGAGGTCATGTTATCAGCCTTTCCAATCTTCTGATGAGCAAAATCAGTGGGGAAGCCAAATGCACTTAACAACCATGTTACTCACTTAACAACTGCAGTGCTTCACAACTGTGACAAGAAAGGTCGTAAAATGGGGCAAATCTCACTTAACAGATTTCTCACTTAACAAAAGTTTTGGGCTCAATTGTCACAAGTCGAGGACTACTGGTTTTTTTTTACGTGTAATCCACCTGTTGTCGTCTATTTTATTTTTATTCAAACTAATGTATGAAAACTGTTATACTAAAATACACTAAAATAATGGGCTTTAGAATAATCCCATTAAATGGGAATCTAAAGTGTGTAGAGATACTGTACAATTTTCCTCCTTTAAAAAAAAATCAGTTACTTCATTTAAAAATAATCCTATTAAACTTTTAAATGAATACCCATTATTTAGTTAGTAGAAGCAACCCCTCTCTACAGATTTAGGCGTATAATTGAACTGTGATATCAAGATTGAATTTTTTAGAAATCTAAAAGCTTGGAGGCCACACGCCACTCACTTCAGTGTTATCGCTGCTTTCTGTTCCTCTGACATGTTAATATTTTCTTTTCATAGGGATGCTTCGTTTGGGAACTGCACATATAATCTATCTATTCTCGACTGTCTACAAGGACTAAAAAAGGTAACATTATAGTGCTTACGTGAAAGGAAATAGCTTCTTAGAAATTTTTCAAGAGTGTAACCCAGGACATTGGTAGGCCAGGATCAGCCTTACTTTCCCTTTCATCCTTCAAGTCAAGTGATAGCTTAGTAATTTTTCAGTAGCTTCAAGTTGGGTGTTTTATGGTTTTCTTTTTTACATGTTTTTTTAAAACCTTTGAGGGCATAATTAAGAATAAAAACAACATAGATTGGGAGGGCAGGGGACTAAGCCTTTTTAAGTGCCCATTTAAGATACCCTAGGTCCTAGGAACATTTTCCAGTCTATGGAAAACATAAAACCAATCAAGGTGCTTTGTTTGAAGCAACCCCAGTTTGTTTTTACTCCCTTTTTATTTTTGAGGGAGGGAGGGTTTGCTTCACAGTATTAACAATATGTGAATATCAGACTGGGACAGAACAAAGAACGTGCAGTATCTAGAGTAGTGAAAATAAATCCTAAAGAAAAATAATTATTTTTCTTATGTCTGTTTTGGCTGCTAGAGAGAAAAGGGGGTTACCATGCAAAACAATGGCACACAATAAAATTCCAGTTTCTTGGGTGTTACGTTCTAACAAGGTGTTAAACCATTTTAGAAAGTGGACTGTTTTTCTTGCCACGCCTCTGGATGGATAATTTCAAAAGTTCCTGATAAGTTTTTTCCCCCCCAAAGCAAGAAGTTTCTAGTTTAAGAAAGAAGCACATACATCTTCTGAATTTAATCATTGGGAGAGATAAAAGGTAGCATCTCTAGCAACATGTTTCTTGTTTCTATTACAGTCTGTTCACTTTTAGTTAGCTATTCTTTCTGGATCCAAATGGAAACATTTGAGTCAAGGTAGTTGGTTTTGCTAAGTCACAAACTGTACAACAACAAGTAACAATCTTGTCTCGATTATAATTATATCAACAGCATAAAAACAGTTTCTAAAGATGTAAAATAAGCATTAATTCAATGTATATTATTTCAGAAGGGACTGGATTCTTTTTTTCTTTTTTTATGAACAGCTTCATGAAAATTTGATACACTTTTTTTCTAGGCCTTACAACATGGATTTGTTGATTTCAAGACATTTGATGCAGATGAATATGAACACTACGAGGTCTGTATATCTTTTAAATGCTGAATTTGCTAATTTACAGATAGGAAATGTGGTGTAGTAGTGATGATTTCTAAATTTGTTGTGTAGGTTTTGAGTTTCTCTATCATAAAAGTACTAAGGAAAAGGAATAAAAGATTAGTTACAATTCCAGCATTATCTGACACCTGAATAAGATAATTTATATAATATTTAATGGTATTAAAAATTCATTGTTGCTACAAATCTAGGAAAATGTATTGGTTGATTAATTCCCAGACCTAGAAAAGACTTACATTTACTTGACAATTAGCTTGTGGAATCTCCTCATTACTTTAGGTTGTACTAGTGTCTGTTTTATTGAGAGAGTGATGTGACATCTCTTAGCCTAATACAATACTTATTAGTACTAAATCTGAAACAATGCTTCAAGAGTATAGTTAAAAATATATATGTATTAAGTCACATTTTTTCAACAAGGAATAATAGGCAGATTAACCAATTGCTATGTAAAATCATTACCTTAAGTAATATTAAGATAATTTGTTAAGTTGACATTTTCAAGCAGTGCTTAAATCTTCAAAATTATTTCCACTTAACTGTGTAATCTTGCTACTAAAAGTATAATGTACAGTGATTTCAACTGACACAGAATCCTACTCATAATTCATTGTTTGATATAAGTGGAGTTACATTTGGTCTTGCAAAAAATTTTAAAGTGCAGGAAGCTGTACTTACAAGGTAAAAATGTTAACTCTGATTGGTTTTAATTATGTATTGTTTTAAACATCGATTTTACAAATGTTAATAATATGGCATACTTCCATTGCCTTTGTGAATTCTGAAAATAAAAGTAATTGTTGGTTCTCTTGATGATTCATCAGTAGAATTAGATGTGTTTTTTTTAATACTAGCAAATTGCCTTGGGTAATTTTTCAGCAAACTGTTTTCCCTGAGTGACATTAATCAGACATTAAAGCAAAGCTACCTTTTAATTAACTTTTCAAAACAAGATGCTATTGAAAAATTGAAAAGATATTTTTTTAAGTATTTTTTTTTCTCCTTTCATTTTCCATAGAGGGTAGAAAATGGTGACTTCAATTGGATTGTCCCTGGAAAATTCTTAGCATTTAGTGGACCACATCCGAAGACCAAGATTGAAAATGGTATTTGTCTTTTTTTTTTTTTTTTTTAGGGATGGTGACGTAGAATTTTGGTTTTGTTTCCTACGGCTAGTCATTGACTATAGTCCAGAGTTGCTATGTTTACCCAAGTAATTACTGTCCACAAGATTTGTTTTGACAAATATTTGATAGCAATTCTGAGCAGCAATTTTGGGTAATATTGAAATCCAGGAAGGAATCTCATGCACAAGAATGCCTTGGGTGTATACAGCTTTTGGACATTATATTGTTTAGGAAACAATAATTGTTTACCAATACTGAAAAATTTAATTTTTAGTATGAAGGCAACTTCGCATTTCCAACAAGTAAAATAGTCCATCTAGGGCACTGGTGGCGAACCTATGGCATGCGTGCCAGAGACGGCACTCAGAGCTCTCTCTGTGGGCATGTGCACCGTTGCCCCAGTAGAGTTCGCCAGAATAGCGAGCACGTGACATTTGGAAGTGACAGGGCAGGAAGTGAGCGAGCAAGTGGCGTTGGCCCCCCGGAGATGGCGATGGACTGGCCCCGGCCACGCTCACTCAGTCTGCCGTGACCACTGCAGCCACGACCCCCCCCCCCCGAGGGCACCACAATGCTGATGCAGCCCTGGCACTTTGCAATAAATAAGTGAGTTTTGGATTGCAGTTTGGGCACTCAGTCTCTAAAAGGTTCACCATCACTGATCTAGGGAGAGTTTGCTTATAGTAGCAAGGTCTGTGTTTTTACCTCCAATTTTTAAAACTTTTCACCTCTTCCCCTTTAAAAATTGCTCTAGAAATACCCTCAAAACTCCAGGGTAGATTTTGAGAAAATGTGGAATTGAGTTCTGTGGAGAACGTAGAACTGTGATGTCCCATAACACAGTTGAATTTCTTTTCTTAAATCCACATTATCCAAGTACACAATTTTGAAATTTTGATCATCATTTTAAGGCCATTGTAATGAAAATCCCTTTCTTTTGCTTGTAATTTTCATCCCCTCTAGTAACCAGTTTCTAAAATCATCATTTATCTTTGTTATGATTAACTCTATTCAAGATAGCTAAAATATATCTGTTTCCCACAAGAAGCTGTTTATTTTTTATACAGTAGCTAATTCCAAAATCTTATAGCCAAAGTCAAATCAAAAGCTTATTTAGCTTTTTTATTTCAAATTCTTTAAGTTCTTAAGCCTATGATTGATTTTTCTTTTGTTCAGAGTTGAAGATAAACTCATTTGACGAAAACATTTTAACCATTTTAAAGCTATTAGATTTGCACCAACAAACTTGAAAATGATGAATAGGCAATTTCTGAAAGTGATTAGGAAGTGAGGTTTGTGACTTCTGGGGAAGATATGGTAAACTGAAGGGGTACAGATGACAACCGTGGTAAAATCAAGAGCCAGCTAGTAGACTAGCTTTTTGTAATTCCTCTCTGGGCAAGGAGAGGACTTGAGATCACCCACAGTTGTTCCTCATGAGGAGACTGCAGGATAGTGATCTCCAATGGATTTAGAGCTCTGGGAGATGAAGGAATAGCCATGTTGCTCAAACCACCCGTCGGAACCTTCAAAGGACACTAGATTTGTATACCTTTTCTAATCACTTTTAGAAATTGCTTTTTAAATGATTTTCAGCTATTAGGAACCTTTGAATCAACGAGTCTGAAAGCACAAAAGAAAGTTTAAATATAAGTTTAAGGATTTTTTTTTAATAAACATCAAAAGGGTAATTAGAACTTTGATTTTGGAAAGTAATCACATGAGGATACTTTATTTTCCAAGGATTAGACACAACGCAGTGTAGCAGATCTATACAAAAACTGCAGCATAATAAAAGATTACAAGGTTGTTGCTGATTTTTGAATGTTTAGAACAACAAAGTTGATATGCACCTGCAATTCCGTGATCACTACCAATTGATTACCCCCCCCACACACACACACAAATATCAGTTTTATCTCAGCCTTATAAAATCAGTGAACATTATCTTAAATATGTATCCATTTTTAAAACAATTTCATTTTGGTACTATTTTAAGAAGTTGTATAAAAAGAAGTGATGGAAATAAAGTATGTGCATGTAAAATTTCATTGTGTTGAATATAGTTAGTTAAAGGAAGAAATAGCAAATCAGTCAAAATAACTATGCCAAATCTCTCTCAAATATTTACAGTTGTATATAGTACTTTTCAAATATTCAAACTTTTTAAAAACTATTATCTGTTTTTCATGGTAACGAAGATTCCACAAAAAAGCTTTCTTCCGGTTTAGAACTAACAAGAAGAAATGACTTCTCCGAATATTAGCTGGAGCCCTTTAATGTTCTGTGATGTTGTTGTTGAAGATCTTTTGGCTATAACACTAAAGCATTCAGCTTTGCAACTTTGAATAGACTTGCTTAATAATATTTGTATTACTAATAGAAGAGAACATCATGATGTTACCTAGTTGGGTAATGAAATGTCTGCAAGAAAACAACCAAGCTCAGAGAGTGCCAGAACCCCTCAATATGTATATTATTTTAAAATAATTTATTTTCAACATATAGTGTTCTTAAGGGTTTGGCTACCTGGAGATGAGAGGGAAACATCCAAGTATTCTCACTCTGCTTGTTGTAGGTTATCCGCTTCATGCACCCGAAGCCTATTTCCCATATTTTAGGAAGCACAACATAACAACCGTCATAAGGCTCAACAAAAAGATTTATGAAGCAAAACGCTTCACAGATGGTGGGTTTGACCACTACGATCTATTCTTCATTGATGGTAGCACCCCAAGTGACAGTATACTGCAACAGTTTTTGAACATCTGTGAGGAAGCAGAAGGTGCTATAGCTGTACACTGTAAAGGTAAGTCTGAATTACAATATTAAATCTGTTCAACATAAAAATAAAAATTAGAATTAAAATTTTTATCCTAATGTATTTGCTGACTTGTATAAATTACTCCAAATCATACATTTTAAAACTCTGGCCTTGCATTGATTTTTTTCCTATCTATGCAGAGCCATTTTTATTCCACTGAGTGATGCTATTGCCTTTTTTTTGGTAAAGATTTCTCTTTAGTATTCTTTAGAATGTTCGGTTCTTATCCATGTGTAAGAATAGTAATGAACTTCCATGATTTGTATGTGGGATGCCTTAACATCTTGAGTCTTCTCCATAATATTTCAATAAAATGATTTCACTTGAAAAACTTGAAAATACAGAGGAAGCAATATCACTTCTTTTTTTCATTAATAACTGACTGTTATTAAAAACATCCTCAGACTGCCTCCATTTGTGTTAGTTAATGATATATAATATATTTAATCAGTGGTGGGATTCAAATACCTGAACAACCAGTTCTCTGCTTGGACGCCATTTCCGGAAGTCCATTCTGAGCCGGGGAGGCTTCCCAGGCCCAGAACGGCACACCAGAAGTGCATGGACGCCACTTCCGGAAGTCTGTTCTGAGCCGGGGAAGCCCCCCAGGCCCAGAATGGCCCACCTGAAGTGTGTGGATGCCATTTCCGGAAGTCCATTCTGAGCTGGGGAAGCCTCCTAGGCCCAGAATAGCCCACTGAAGTGTGTGGATGCCATTTCCGGAAGTCCATTCTGAGCCGGGCAAGCCTCCCAGGCCCAGAACAGCCCACCGGAAGTGCATGGACGCCACTTCCGGAAGTCTCCCCAGCTCAGAACGGACTTCCGGAAGTGGCATCCATGCACTTCCAGCAGTCCGTTCTGGGACTTGTGAAAGGGGCTAGGGCATCAGCCAGTTCACTGAGGTCAACAAAAAAATAGCTACCAGTTATACTAAACCAGTCCAAACCGGCTGAATCCCACCACTCTATTTAATTCATATTCTAACATCTTCACCCTGTTAAATGGTTCCACACATTAAAAGGAAGATACTGATATTAAGGTAGTCCTTGGTTTACAACAGCAATTAGGACCACTAATTGTAAAGTGTGTAGTTGTAAAGTGTGACATCATGTGACTGTGTCACTTAATGATATTAATTCCAGCAATCCTGGGTGACACTGTTAAGTGAGGACCACTCGAGTTGTTAAACAACCTCATGTGGCCACAAGTGCTGACTACCTACCATTGACTTTGCTTGTGGGAAGCTGGCAGGGAAAGTTGGAAATTGCAATCACATATCTGTGGCTTGTTGCAACATTGTAGCCATGAGCTGGGCGATAAGTACTCAGATCATGATTATGCGACTGCAGGTATGCTACAACGACTGGAACTCCAAGGATCCATTGTAAGTCCCCTTCATTCAGTGCCATCTTAACTTTGAATGCTCAGTCAATTAATGGTTGTAACCTGAGAACCAGCCATGCAGATCTAGCTCTGCAAATGCTTTTGATTTGACATTTGTAGGAAATAGGGCTACACAACCCCTTGGGAAGATAATTTCAGAGAGGGACCTCGGAGTCCTAGTGGACAATCACCTAAATATGAGCCAGCAGTGTGCTGCAGCTGCCATAAAGGCCAACACAGTGCTAGGCTGCATTAACAGAGGGATAGAATCAAGATCACGTGAAGTGTTAATACCACTTTACAATGCCTTGGTAAGGCCACACTTGGAATACTGCATCCAGTTTTGGTCACCGCGATGAAAAAAAGATGTTGAGACTTTAGAAAGAGTACAGAGAAGAGCAACAAAGATGATTAGGGGACTGGAGGCTAAAGCATATGAGGAACGGCTGCTGGAATTGGGTATGTCTAGTTTAATGAAGAGAAGGACGAGGGGGGACATGATAGCAGTGTTCCAATATCTCAGGGGCTGCCATAAAGAAGAGGGAGTCAAGCTATTTTCCAAAGCGCCTGGAGGCAGGACAAGAAGCAACGGGTGGAAACTGATCAAGGAGAGAAGCAATCTAGAACTAAGGAGAAACTTCCTGACAGTGACAACAATTAACCAGTGGAACAACCTGCCTCCAGAAGCGGTGAATGCTCCAACACTGGAAGTTTTTAAGAAGAGACTGGACAGCCATTTGTCTGAAATGGTATAGGGTTTCCTTCCTGAACTTTACTATTATTATTATTATTATTATTATTATTATTATTATTATTATTATTATTATTATTATTATTATTATTATTATTATTACTTTTCCGAATCAACATCTTGGAGGATCAAGTCAAAGCCTGGAATGCTTAAAGTACACCACCTTCATTTTGGAAGTATCTTCTGTGCATGGATATACCTCAGAAGATCATGATAAAAGGACTTGAGTCAATTTGGTCAAATCAGCAGGAGCTATGGCTCCATCAGTGTTCTAATTTATAGCACTAGAAAAAAACCCCAATATACCTGAGTTCTGTAGAACAAGGAAGTGAAATGTTCTAGATTATCCCCATCGGGAATAGAAAAGGCCCCAGTGGTTAAAACAAACATAAATCAAGCTGTATAGAATATACAGGTTATTTTTCCTTTAATAGAGCTATGACATTTCTCGTCTCGTTTGACTATGAATTTTGTAAAACCTGAGTCCTAGAAACAAATATTTAGAATATATTTTGCATTGTTCAGTGCCAAATATTCAGCTGTTGGATCTCTAAACATTCAATGTTTATGTCTTTTTTTCATTAATGTAGCTGGGCTAGGAAGAACAGGAACACTGATTGCTTGTTACATAATCAAACACTATAAATTTACCCATTCTGAAGCCATTGCCTGGATACGAATGTGTCGGCCAGGTTCTATTATTGGACCCCAGCAACACTTCCTTGAAGAGTAAGTATAAGAACTACATTAGTCATATAATAGATGCTCCAGGATATGTTCTTTCCCCCACCTGTACTGCTTAATAAATATTTATTAAGGCCACAAAACATGGTAATTTTGGGGGGAACTCCCTCTACCGAACTGTGTACATTATTTTTATTATACAGTTTAATGAGTCCTGGAAAAGGTGTGTATAATATTACACTGCCACTGTAATGTTTTATGTTATTCAGTTTATTGTATTACTCATGTCTCAATATGCCGTTTTTAAAAGAGTTCCAGGAATCAGTTAAGTATTTGGAAAATGTTTGCCCCTTCTCTTGGTTTTGTTGCCTGAGCATATCTTAACAAGTTACTTCCCCTTGTCAATATTTTGTGCTTTTTTTGTCAACTGTATCTCAATCTAATCCTCAAAAGAGAGCATCGGGATCTAATTAAAGTTCATTTGTAACTCTGCAACTTTTGTTTGAGGCCGGCTAATATTTTTCATCTGCCTTTGGAGAAACAGGAGAAAAAAATGCATTCATTAACTTTGCTAAAAGTAGCTAAAGGTGTGGAAAAGCTGACAATTAGCAAGGCTGCCTATCTGTGGTGCTAATTGGTATGGATCAGATCAAGCCATCTGGTTTGCACTATGGGATGTATGGCAGTGGCAATGAACATCTGATAGTTATGTCTTAGTGATAAAAATTGATTTAGTGCATCAACAAAATGCAGGATCCCCCCCCACAGCGTGACTAGGGTGCACATACATGCTATAAATACATCACCCAAGGATGAAATTCGCACAGGGCTTTCTGATTTTATACCAGTACTTTAATATTGTAATACTATAATCTACTGTAATATTGCCCAGGTATTCCTTCAGGGTGAATTGCTAAGAGCCATATAAAATGAAGCATGAGGTGTGAGGAATGCCTCCAAACTGTTCAAGTGTTATTGCCTATTGTTTCATACTTAACAAGGTAGCGAACGCCCTTCCTTCAAAATAATTATTGAAATAAGGCATCCTTTTTTCTTTCTTTTTGTACATGATCATGTATGAAATGGTTTGGAACAATATAGATCAGGGGTAGGCAACCTTGGCTCTTTTATGACTCGTGGACTTCAACTCCCAGAATTCCTGAGCCGGCATGGTTGAAGTCCACGAGTCATAAAAGAGCCCAGGTGGTCTACCCCTGATATAGATAGACCAATATAGACTAGTGTTCCTCAACTGTGGCAACTTTAAGATGGATACGCTTCAACTCTTAGAATTCCCTAGCCAGCATTGTAGCATTGTGACAAATGCAGAGCATTATGCCTGTGGTTTGTGCCCTCTGTGGCAACAAGGGACCAGAGATGGGGCTTGGGGGGGGGACACTGCTTCATGATGGTTATGCCAGGGGTTAGGGATTTCCTGGAGTTGTTCACCCTGTTCTCTGTGCTGGTTTATATCAGTGCCTTGTTCCTCCAGAGAACTATTGGCAAGCTGCTTTTGGTGAGAGCAGGGCAGACAATTTTGCAATATCTTCTCAGTCCAATGGAGGTTAAAATAGCAAAGCTCAGTATAACAGTAGAAAGGCAACTTTCAGTCAAGAGCAGGCAGGATAAATTGTGAAAAATAATTATTTGGGTCCATTATTGATTTGAGATTTATGGGTTTGTTTCCTGTATGCAAGCGTTGCAGATTAACCATCGAAACCTTTTTTTTTCTGCCATAGGTTAGATTTTTGTATTGAAGTTTCTTCTATATTCCTTGCTATGCTATTACAAACTGTCTTTGTCTCTAATTTTTTGACATTCATTGCCTTGAACCCCTTGTTTTGTTATCGGTGATAGTCATCATAGTGGGCTTTAAAAAAATAATTAAGGCAGAAGAGTGGGATTTTTTTTATATTAAAAAAATTGGACTGAGGCATACGATACTTTGCAGTTAAAACAGTGATACTGCTGCTCAGTAGGTGATACTGCTCTGGATTAACAACCATTAACAATCTTTGAAGTCAGTTTAACAATAACCTCCCCAACCTAACTTTGAAAGAGGTGTCCCTATCCACCAATGTACGGGTAAAATCATTCTAAGCAAGCATAAACTTCACTGATTCTTGCAAGGACTTTTTTTTCCTGATTTATGTGTTTATGATACACATTCAGCAATTTTTTTCTAGGAGTTAGCTTGGCTTGCCTTATTTAATTTTATTGCATGTTAGTTTCCTTCCGAGGATACTGTTTTCATCTTTCTAATCCTATTCTATTTCATAGTCATTAATCTCCCAACAGGAATTTTTGTCTGAATTTAAATATAGGGGTGACAGTTTATTTCTGCCTACTGCCACAGCTGTCATATTTAATTATCTAGTTAGGCAAAACTGGTGGGAAAGATTGCTTATGAATGAGAGGAGCAAAATTTAGCACATACATGTAAGGAGAGAAGAAAACAAATTAAAGAAAGGGTTGCTGCTGATATATTTAACTCTATAAGAATTTTTTTTAAAAAGGTAAAGGTTTGCCCTGCCAGTCTTGACTGACTGTAGGGGGTGTTGCTCATCTCCGTTTCCTAACCAAGAGAGCCAGCATTGCCCAAAGATGCTTTCATAGTCATGTGGCTGTACGCCAAGATGCATCGAACGCTGTTACCTTCTCACCAAAGTAGTATCTATTTATCTACATGTGTTTGCATGCTTTCAAATTGCTAGGTTGGGAGGAGCTGGGGCAAGAACAGAAGCTTACCCCATCACATAGTACTTGGGTCTCTGCCAACCTTCTAGTCGACAAGCCCAGCACCTTAACCATTAACTCACCAAACCCCCTTTCTATAAGAATGGGCTTTGTAAATAAGATTCAGTTGTTGTGTTGACTGCTGGTTTTACAAACCACAATCTCTTTCATGTGTTAGTTTCAAACGTCTACTCAGGGGTAGGCAAACTTGGCTCAGGAATTCTGGGAGTTGAAGTCCACGAGTCATAAAAGAGCCAAGGTTGCCTATACCCCTGGTCTAAGTGGACATTTTCTTACCTGCAATATCCCCAAATGCTGCCCAGAGAATATCCAAAATAAGCATTTTAGGAGTTCTTGGTGCTCTCAGAGCTTGATGGTATTGTTGCATCTGAGGATGTCACCTAAATTTGGATAATTAAAAAGTCTGCAAGAAAACAACCAAGCTCAGAGAACACTAAGGACCTCTTATTTCGACCCTGACCTACAAATGCTCTCCTCTAGCGATAAATATTTTAATTATAAGGGCCAAAGTCTTAACTAGATCATCCAATAATTGTGTGAGATTGCACAGATTTAAAGATTGGAAAGGCACATATTTTGAAAGAAAGCCACGCCTCATCTTCTATAGTACAATACCACTGATACTAATTTTATTTCTGGTCCTATTGAACAGAAAACAGTCGATGTTGTGGATCCACGGCGACATATTCCGAACTAAACAGAAAACAAAAGAAGTAGATGAAGATAGTTTGAGCAAAGTTTTATCTGGCTTCGATGAGATTTCTATCAGTGGAACTTCAACTAGAATTGAAAATTTGGATAAATATAGAGAGGTAAAGTTGCACTGGAATAATCTCCAATCATACCCAAAGAACATGTCAATAATTTCAGAAATAAAATATTTGAAGTTTATCACAACAGCGTAATATATTCAAAATGTTTGACTGTATATATAGTATACTTGTGTTGTTGTAACCCTTCTAATAAAAGAGGTCAGTATGATTATTGAAATAGCAAATTGCAGGACTTGGCCAAGAAAGAATAAAGGACAAGATGGAACGCAATGGTATCCCACGCAAACATGATAGGTTCAATCGCCCTTTGCCAAAACTACAGTCTAAAATAGGTGTTTTGGTGACTATGTTTCCTAAGAAAATTAATTAGTGTCGTCACATCAACAATGACTTATTTTCCTCCTTTGTAACTTGATTCCTGACATAATATAACTTTGGTTTAATTTAAGCCAAAGGTTTCACTCCAAGGGGCAAGGTAAAGAAGTAGAAGGCAAAAATGTTCTCACTTGTCAATGTTAAAAGTTTTCCTGCTATTTTAAAGAGGTGTGGAAAGAATCGGTGTGATTATTTATTAAATTTATTTTATATTTATACCCCACCATTTTTCTGCAAGTTTAAGATGGCATACAAATGGTGGGGTAGCTTGGATTAAGAGAAAGTGATTGGCCCATGGTCACCCAGAACTCTGTGATCAGCTGTGGACTTGCAGCTGGTTTTTTTCCCCCCACTTACAGTCACCACCTTAACTATAAAGTTTTGGCCAGCCTCCCACCAGTAACCCTGTTAAAAGAAGGAAAGCATGTAGGTGCTCACGCTACATTGTGCTTTTTGACCTTCAGCCGTATGGAAATCTGGGACAAGTTAAACTCCCCATTGCTTAAATATGTAGTACTTTTATTATTAAAGTATTTCCTTTCCAACAATTTCCCTTCAGTATATTGTGTACGCATTCACAGTTAAGTTTGACTTGGTTGTGTTATTCCTTTTTTTTTTTTTTTGCTTGAAATATTTTCATAGTGATAAATGCTCTTGGTAAGTTGTCAGGAGTCAAAATAATGAGAGAGAAAGAAAAAAAAACCTGTGGTGATTCTTGTGTCATAGATTTTGTTCTCGAAATGTGTTTTTTTTTTTTTTTTTTTAAAGTAAATTATTTCTGTTTTCCAGAATGATTTGGAAGAAGATTCAGAAACTAAGAGTGACTTGACTCAGGGAGATCAACTCCGTGCCTTAAAACTTCAGAGGCAGCCACGTTCAGCTACAACAGGAGCTCTTAGGTAATCTATTCAGACCTGAATGCTTCTGTACTAATATTGAATTTTTTATTTTTATTTTAAAAAAATCACACTGAAATTTTTTACTTTTCTAATGATTTAGGACAGGGGTAGGCAACTTTGGCTCTTTTATGACTCGTGGACTTCAACTCCCAGAATTCCTGAGCCAGCATGGCTGGCTCAGGAATTCTGGGAGTTGAAGTCCACGAGTGATAAAAGAGCCAAGGTTGCCTACCCCTGATCTAGGGTATGGTTATAGCATCCTTCCACAGTACATTTATAAATTTGATCAGCTGCTAAAGCATACTAGAAGTGGCTACTGCTTGCTATACAAGTAGTTCCCGATTTATGACTGTTTGAAATTACGACGTGCTTTAAAAAGCGACTTATGGCTGATCCTTGCACTTATAATCATCACAGCGTCCCCAGAGTCAGGTGATCTAGTTTGGGCACTTGACAACTGGCATGTATGTATGACGGTTGCAACATCTTGGGGTCATTTGATCGCCATTTACAACCTTCCGGGGGGGAGGGGGGAAGGGGAGCAAAGTCAACGGGAGAAGCCAGATTTGCTTAACAGACATATACCCGCTTAACGACTGTGGTGATTCGCTTACAGTGGCCAAAAAAAGGTTGTAAAATTGGGTGTGACTCACTTAACCATTTAGTGAGCCACTTTAGTGATAGAAGTTCTGATCCCATTTGTGATTGTACGTCGAGGACTGCCTATAATGACAAAAAGGAATGTATTTGTCCATAAGATTATCAGGGAGATAAGCCTCTATTGGCAATCCTCATGACATTTATAAAGTTGTAGCAGTCCATTAGACTGTGGAGTACTATTTCTTTTGTCCTTATATTCCATGAAGGTCACCCCCCAAAAAATCAGGCTGCCTTTTTAATAAAGTTCAGAATAAGTTTGGTTGCTTAATAGTCATATTGTGGTCAGAGGCCCTATAAGAGCAAGATGAATTGAAAGAGATGCTAGAAAAGCTTTGTAAAATTCTGAGGCAGCTGAAACAAGGCATATGCTTCCAGATTATTGATGCATCGGTTCTGTACCAGTAATTATGGTTCCTTCCTTTCCAGCTAAGGTTTTTACATCAGTTGATTATTTTTGCTGCAATTGTTGATAATTATCAATTTTTTTCAACCCAACAGAATTTTGGAAAGAAATTATACAAAGGGACTCTCGGTTCATAAACAAAACTCTACGAAAGATGAATGAAATACAGCAAAATTTACTATGAGGGGGGTGGAGGAAAAAGTTGACTGAAATGGTTCAGAAAAGTCTGCAGAAGAAAAGAATATAATCCTCCAGGGTGTTCCTAAGACAGTGATGGCGAACCTTTTAGAGATCGAGTGCCCAAACTGCAACCCAAAACCACTTATGCATCGTTGGGTGCCGGGTGGATGTGGCCCATTGGCTAGGTGTGGCCCATTGGCTGGATGTAGCCCATTGGCTGGGCGTGCCCATTGGCTGGGCGTGGCTGCGGTGGTAACAACAGACTGGGTGGGACTAAAAAGTTCAATCAATTCCAAATTTGCAAGATTTTTTTTCCCGTGAGAAGTTGAAATTGACTGATTGAACCTTTTTTTTTTTTGCACATGGCGGCGGAGGCCTAAAGCGAAAAGGTTTTATAAAATCCAGCTGAAGGCCTAGGACTGGGGCGACGGTGCGCGTGCCCACAGAGAGGGCTCTGAGTGCCGCCTCTGGCACCCGTGCCATAGGTTCGCTACCACTGTCCTAAGAGGAAGGCAGTTGGGCAAGGACTTGCAGATGCAATGTAGTACTTTGATACACAGAAGAAAATGCAGATCCTCCTATAACTACTGATGTTGAGGAGGCTGGAGAGAATTCCAAAATAAGAGCATGGAGTGATGGGAATTGTAATTCAATTGCATGTATGACCTTCTTCATGTTAGGATCATTGAAGAGAATCCTATTTTGAGTACCAGGTTATGTAAACGACAGTGTGTGAGCACCAAGCCTGAAGATTTTTTTATTGATGGCACTGTCTTGCCAATTCCTTCCATAGGGAGATGGATTCAGCCAATTTCCAGTCTTCATGAGCAATGGTAGAAATAATTTCCTTTTAAGGAAGACATCTGCTAGATTCAGAGAGGGATCTGGGTGACACTCTAGTATTTATGTATTTGTTATTTATTTATTGACATATTTACTTACTTAATTGCCTGCCTGCTTGCTTGACTGCTTTTCTGAATTTGTGGGATATGTGTTTAATTTAGTGTATTAGATTGTTGGGCAAGTAAATATCAGCTATATAAATTCAGTAATATATAACATATCCCTTTTAGTTTGATACTTCTGATGTAAAATATTATTGACTTTTTAGGTTAGAAGATATGAAGACACATGTCAGATCCATATCCCAGCCTTTCAGGTATTTGTTTTGATTGTTTAGAAAAAAGCAAGTTCATTTATAGAAGCCTTCTGAATTTTTGCTGTTGCAATAATAATTATGTAATTATGTAATTATTACATATTACTAGTAATTACTAAATATTACTAAATAGAATAGTGCTGTGATTGTAAAAGCCGTTCACCATGTTAAATTTGTAGATCAAAGAATGGTTTTGGAATTCATTCTTACTAATAATATTTCATAACCTTACTAACAAGGCTGCGAAATAGCAAACATTTTTATTTGTGATCCCATGCAACCTTGCTTGTGGATAAACTGGGTCCAAACATGTATAGCACACGACACATGTCTATTTCCTATTCTTTAAGACTTCAGTGGGCAAAAATTAAATTTTGGAAAACTATTTTACATTTAGCTTCATGGCTTGATATGTAGTTCTTCATAGGTAAAACTATACTAATATTTAAAGCAAATTGAACTATCTCACTGAAGCCTGACTTATATAATCGCAGTATACTAGCACTGATACATTTCCATGGGGCGAGTTACCTTTTGAAGATGTATGGGACTTTGGATTCAGTTCCAAAAAAGTGTTCCAGAGGAAGCAAATTTGCATTATTTGTCACTTGTCTGCAGCCCCTTAGAGCAGCTGTCTTTTCCTGAAAACTATTGGCAGCAATTTAAAAACTAAACGTTGTGAGGGAGACAGCCTCAAATACCTGCCAGGAGAAAACTGCTTTGAGCTGAGGCAGAAATGCCAACATTAAGGAAGGCTAACCTTAAGGATGGGATGCAATTTAAAGGTACAGTGGTACCTTGGTACTCAACTGCTTTGAAACTCATCGAATTTGGTACTCAGTGCATTTTGACATGAACATTTTGTCCTGGTACTCATTGTTTGTTTGGTACTTAATTGCACAAGCTAGAACTTGTTGTTGTTGGCTGCCTTGTGACTCACTACATTATTCCTTATAGGAAAAATGTGTTAAGTATTCATAGTTTTTGCTACTCGCTGCACCTCCTGGAACCAATTAATGATGAGTACCAAAGATACCACTATATAAATCAGCTTTCTCAATTGTCTGCAGATATTATGGATTTGGAGTTAGATATTCAGAACAAGCCTGGTTAATTCAATAGCAGGTTCATTCTTTGAAATACTTCCGAAATTTCAAGTCAGAGGTGTTTTCATGCAAATTGCATTACGGAAGTATAAAGCTGGGTGCTACGAATCTTTGAATGATTTTCAGGCCATCCTTTTTAGGAAGAGGTGCAGTTGGCTAACTAGAAATATAAAATATATTTCTAACCACCTTCTCTGTTACCAAATTCTGTTACTACAAAATTGAAAAAGCATGTCCAAACTGTTGATTTAAGTCTTTAAAAAAACCTCAGATTCTACACATAACCTATACTTCAATCCATTATTCATCCATTTTGAGGATCATGTGTTTCAGTTTGTTTATCCTAATTCCAGGGCATTTATACTATGTTAGGGGTTTCCACTATTTTTCAAAGAATTCGTTACAAGATGGAGAAAAGAGAGAGAGATTTATTATCAACCTATTAATGGCACTTTCTCCCACCTCTTTAAATGATTTCATGCAGAACCTGAATAGCAGAGATGATTAGCAGAGCCTCAGTGATTTTACATTCCAGAGGCAAAAATATAGGGTAGCGGTGCCTTAGTGGGGAAGACCAGCAAACAAGTCAATACAGAAATTCAGAGATGGATCATTTGCCGCTAAATTTCAAACATGATTGCAATCAAAATAGTCACTTTTGAAATGGATATTCAGTGATGTATCTGTTAACTTTCTGATTTGGGGGGGGTTGCCTTGTAAAATGAAATAAAAAATAGGAAATAATTAGGGGGGGAAATCAAAACATTGGAATTAGCATGTGCATTTGGTACTGAAAAGTAATAACATCTGCAAGAGGCTGCGCTTATATTTTAAGAATCTATTTTACCACATAGGCATCCACAATTTTAAATGAATATATAATGTTCAAAACAGAAATTGTGGGGGAACATACTTATGCAATAAACCTCCATGCTGTTCACTGCTTGAAATTTGTACCCAAAGGTTCATATGTAGCTTTCTTCAAATATGAAAGACTTTTTCAGTTATATTCTTCTTTAGAGACACTCCTGAATTACGTCAAAATTTTATTTACAGTCCAAGACCAAATACGAGCCCTGAAAAGTACCCAAAGGATAGGAAGATCCATTGGCACAGTGTTCTGATTCACACACAGAACTGTGCTCATAGAATAAAATATTTTCCTGTTCCTCCATAAGGTTTTACTGTGTCCAGGCATCTTTAGATCCCAGTTGTAGAAGACACAATTCATCATATGCAAACCCTGAGGAAGTTTTAATATTTACTTATGTAAATATTTATATTCAGTGATCCAGGTATGAAAACTAAATGAAGGATAGAAAAGTAAATATTGTTTCAATCATATGAACATATTTTTGCCTCCTATTGGTATATTTTCAGATTGAATACAGCAGCTCTCTCTCAAGGGTCCATATCTCCTTTGAAAGCCACCAAAGTTATGGTTTCGGCATCACCTGCAGCAAAGAGAATAAATAGACATGCTCCATCTTCAGTTCCAAATTTTAAAAGGTATTTTTTTTAACTCTGCTATGTCTTTTAGCTTTTGGGAAGAGGGAGTATAGGAACAAATACTATATTTTTCCATTTGCAATTGGGATTTCTTGTGTGAGAAATCTAAGGTATTCTGGATGTAACTTTAAATGATGTAACTTTAAATACTTGCTTCAGATACCTTAGTTTGACTATGGGAATAAGTGTCTGTGAGCACTAATAAAATTACATTCATGTCATCCCATTGATCTCATATTAAAAGAGCTACATGCATGTTTTTCAAAATAATTCCTCCCATACTGGCCTACACCAGCTTATAGAAACCTAAAGGAAATCCCCTTCAAATAACAAATGTTAAAAATAGCCAACAAGAAAAGTGTTGCATAAAGTTCCAGCATCGCTGGAGATTACCTCTATGTATTTCTTCAAAGCACTGCAATTATTTTGCAACTGTTCTTTATCCTAAGATGTTCCCAATGGTTTCCCCATTAAGTTACCGAAAGAATTAAGCTGTATGTTGCCACCATTTAACATCGAGAAAGTGATTTTTCTCCTCAGTGCCTTTTAAAGCATGTCTTGCATTGATCATCACATGTGCGTACGTTTTGTGTGTCTTTTTTACCCCACGTGTGTTTTCCATTCAGCTTTTCCATAAACTCCAGGTTAGCCAGTTCTCTAGGGAACCTGCATGCTGCTTCAGATGATGCTGAGAGCAAACTGACATTATCATCCTCTAGGACAGGTTATTCTGTAAGCCAACTCTCCAGTCATTTGAATGGCAGTGCCCTGTTGCCTGCCGGAAATTATCATGAGCTGAACAACAACCTGTACAACAGGAGAGGCAATAGCACTACCAACCTCAACAACTATGTCAATTCTCCCAACGTCCTGGCAGAGGAGTACAACACCTTCAGATCTTTTACGGGGCTCGCTGCTTCTTCAGCAAGATACCTGAGTCGATCAATTCCTGTAAGTTCACAGTTCAGCAGCCCTTTCGGAGACCTTATAGACCTTCCCTTCAACCAAAGCTTTCTCCACACAGTTTTCTTCTAACAATTCTTTAGAACCTTCTTTCCTGGTCTTTTTTCTCATTTATGATCTCTTCCTCTTGCGCAACTCGTATCTTACTATCTCAATCAAAAACCAATCAGCTACTTTTTGTTGTGGTTTCTTGGACACTTCGGGGGGGAAAAAAGATAATTGTTCCATTCTCTAATATTTGTAGTGTCTTCCATGAGTGCACCTTCCTTTTTATATCCATTTCAGCTCGTTGTAGTACAATGCGGAAAGTGTCAGATGTTCCTATTGGTACAAGGTTATTGTTGGGTTTTTTTTTTAAAATACATGCAAAGAGCATGGAGAGATTCAATAGGATTTTGAATTATCTAAGTTAGAAGAATTAATTACATTGTTTCCTGCCTAAGCAGGGCATTGGACTAGAAGACCTCCAAGGTCCCTGTTATTCTAATTCTAATTTATATAGATAGTTTTTGTTTGATAACCACTCATTCAGTGACCGTTCAAAGTTGTGACAGTGCTGAACAAGTGGTACTTATAATCAGTCCTCAAAATTCAAAGTTCCAGCTATTAGAGCACCCCTGCAGTCCAGGGTTGCAATACAGGCATTTGGCAACCAGCTCATATGATGGTTGCAGCATCCTGCTGTCATGTGATCACCATTTGTAACTTTCCCTTCTGGCTTCACATAAGCAAAGTCATTGGACAAGCCTGCAGGGAAGGTTACAAGTTGCTCCTGCTGCCTTTTCTCCTGGGGAGCCGCCTACGGAATGCGAAATTCCAGAGGTCTCATAGTCCATTGTGTATTGCAGCATCCCCTCCCTAGCCCCCACACACTCTCACAATGCTGCAGCTCAGCTCACTTCATAGTACACACCTGCCCACTGGATTCTTCGCAAGCCATCCAGGACTCATGACTTCCAGCCAGCTTCCCCAGTGACTCTGCTTGTGGAAAGCTGGCAGGAAGTCACAATCACATAAGGTCCTTGCTTACTGACCCATGATTTTTAGTTAACAGCAGTGAGAACTGCCATAGTTGCCATCACTAGGCAATATGGACTCATGATATTGCACTTCATGACTGCATTGCTTGATGATGGCAATTCCAGTCCAAATTACTGTCATGAGGTAAGGATTACCTATTACCTGTAAAATAATAGACCAAAAAGGGGGAAAAAATCAGTATTGGTTCTCAGTCTACTCTAAATTTAGTCTTATGTTCTTGTTTAGAATATATATTTCCTCTGTGTGAATGAAATGGATTTCCTCTGTGTGAATGAAAGTACATCTGACTAACACCATTTTACCTAACTTAAAAAAATACCCCAAAACTGGTGTCCTAAGATATAATTTAAGCCATATGTGTAGGAACTATTATCTCCTCTGCAAAAGCCTTTGTTGCAACAGCAAGAAATTATAGCATTTCAAGCTTCAGCTGTTATCTACCTACTTGGACTTGTAAAATTTATCTCTTAGAAGATCAACTTTTGAATGTAGTATGAAAGTATTAAAATAAAAGAATTAAGGCATCTATTTTATTTATTTTACTGATCAACATGAGTTCATTTTGTTGAGAGCATCTGGCATATATCACACTCTGTTTTAAAAAGAATTCTTGAAAATATTTTTTCTGATGAAATCATATATTACACAAATTTGAAACTAAACTAATCTCAGGATTTTATTTTAAAATAAGTTCATTCCAGTCGCCACTAAAAAAAAAAACACACCAAGAACAAGTATGTTTTCCATACCTGAGAACTTGTTTTTATAATTAAATACATTGACCACCAGGAAGCACCACGTGATCATTGTCATCCTTATTGGGACTCCTCAGATGTGGGTAGCCAGATGTTATTCTTTGGGGTTCAAATCCTGTGCTGGAAATTGAACTCATGGATTTTTGCCAGTCAGGTGACTTCATGCAATGCATTAGCTTTAGAAGCTATCCAGGCCCTGCAATTCAGTGGTTGTAAGAAGGAATACCTAGAAGCTGTCAGAATGGTGTGTGTGTGTGTGTGTATGGGATTTGTCTACTTTTATGCAGTATGTATCCTATGTGGTGTTCTCAGTTACCTTGACCACCAGGAGGCACCATGTGACCAGTTTTGTTCTTATTTACATCTTTCTGCTCAGAGAGCTTAAAGACACAGTATGTACCATTCTGTCTGTTTTTATAATACATTTCTGCAACATAGTACATAAAATGTAAGTTATTTTTGGAAGATAAGAGCATGTTAAAAATAGAAAGTTCTTCGTAACTTAGATCACAGTTGTTTTGTTAGAATATTACATAGTAAGAGAAATCCAGGCAACATCCCGAATGTTTGAAAAGTTAGAGCAATATAAAGAGAAAATATATTCAAACATAAATATAAAAGATGACATATTGCAGTGGTTCCTTGTGAAACAAAGTGGATCAGACCAATATTTATCTACCCAAAAACATCTAGCCTGGACTTCACAGTACTCATAGTTTCAGCGCATTAGATATTTGTTTCTAGTCTAAAAGATGATGGTAACTTGATTGTTATTATGAGCCATGGTGGTGCAGTGGTTAGAATGCAGTACTACAGGTTACTTCTGCTGGCGGCCTGCAATTCGGCAGTTTGATTCTCACCGGCTCAAGGTTGACTCAGCCTTCCATCCTTCCAAGGTTGGTAAAATGAGGACCCAGATTGTTGGGGGTAATATGTTGACTCTGCTTAGAGAGGGCTGAAAAGCATTGTGATGCGGTATATAAGTCTATGTGCTATTGCTATTATTCAATGTCATTAAGTTCCATCCACTCTCTTACTCTAAGTAGCTGCTACCAGTAGTAAGAAATGGGATTGTATAAATCCATCATGGTTTTGAGGACAAGTGTGAGGAGAAGATATTTGTTCACTGAAATGGTCTTTACCTGCTTTCCTGAGTAAAAGGATGTTGAAAGACATAGATGCTGGCTATAAATGCTACATTTGCTGCTGGGTTTGCTGAGAAGTGTTTAATTCACTATGATATATTTATATAGCTGGAAATATCAAAATACAGTGCTTTTTTTGTAAGAAAAAAGGTGACGGAACTCAGCCCCCCCTCCCCAGCCAGGCCATTCCTTGATCAGCAATCTTTCACTCCCCTCCTGAGCTGGACTGCCATACTATGGCGGATGGGATGGGTGGGGTAGGCCTGGTCCCCCTCCACCATTTTGGAGCCAGGGGGGAGTGATGGTGAATAGCTCCGCTGCTGCTGTGTGCCACTGGAGGAGCTTTCTTTAAGCTTCGCCTCGCAGATCACCTGCCTGGGCACAGCCGCTGCCTCCTGGTCCTCTGCCAACTCTCCCGTGAGTTGCGCCGTGACCGGGCGGCACAAGCCTCCCCCGGTGCCTCCCTCCACCAGCCCTTTGTTGCCTGTCTTGGGGAGAACGGAGAACACAGCAGCTCTGCGCAGGGATGCAGAGCAGAGAACAGCACTTGCTTGCTGCCCTGCATTGCCCGCATCTCCCTTCTCCTTTCCTGCCACTTCTCCTCCCAGCACAGCTCCTCTCTCTTCCCGAAAGCATTTCTTTGCTAACCTGCTTTCCAGCTCTGGTGTGTTTCTCTTCTGCTGCAGGTAAACGGAGTTTGTGGGACTAAAAATGTTCAGTCAGACTTCCAACTCTTTGCGAGATCTTTTTTTTTTTCTTTTTTCGAGAAGTTGGAAGGTCTGACTGAACTTTTTTTAGTCCCGCAAACTCTGTTGAAAAAAGGTGCCGGAACACTGTTCCAGTGCGTTCTATGACAAAAAAAGCACTGTCAAAACATATAATATTTTGTTTTAATAAATATAACATGGCACACATAGATAATAAACGGAGACATGTTAGTTTACATAAATTAAAAAGCATACTTGACATTGTGTAATTGTAGTAGAAAATCAGATTTAGGTTTATACATATTAGCAGAAAAATTGAAAACAAATGAGTAAACTATCAAGAGAGTGAATTTAACCATAAGTGCCAATTTATGTTTGAAAATACCAGTATTGATTGAATTAAAAAAGAGTTGTCATATAAAGTCACAACCAAATTTGAAGTCCATCAATCTTTCACTCTCTTCATCGAAGTAAAACTTCAATTCCATGAAAATATTTCTGAAAATATATATTGAAGTTCATTATTATTGTTGCTGTTATTGCTCTGAGGAAGAAAAGGACAGCCTTTTATATTTCATAGCGGATCAAGATAGAACAGAACATTATATCTTGACAGTACAGAATAGAACAGAACATTCTATCTTGACAGAAAAAGATGGAACAGAATATTCTATCTTAGACAATGAATGATGCAATAAAATTGACATTTGATATTTGAAGTACTCTTTAGTTGCTCAGTATAAGTGTACATATTTACACTTGTGATATATTGCTATTTTCTTTTGTGAAAAGGCACAAAGAGGTTATAATCCTGAGAATAGGTACCTTTCCTCATACCTTCTAAACCTGCTCACAAAAGTTCCCCATAAAATTTCTATCTTAAAAATGAAAAAAAACAAAACCCATTAGTAATATATGTGACTTACTTAGAGAAAGCTTTAGCAGCCTCAGTGGAATAAAATGTGCGGATTTGAACAATAAATGTAGATAATAAGTATGTGATAATTGACATTTCTTTCACATGGATGGAAAACAGAAAAAAAAGACTGGAAACCCTGCTAGGAAGCATATTCCCTATTATCCATGCTTTTTTCTGATTTTTAAAATCTCTGTTGACTTGTATAAAATAGGTAGACATACTGTCTTCACACAAGGATGTTTCCCAATGTTGCTGAATATACACGACATGCATTTTTAAACCAGCCCTATGATTTTGATTGTACTGGATTTATAGTACTTGGTTTATTTCTCAAAACTTAATTCAAAAACTTCGTTCTGACAAATCTGTGTGTCTTTTCAGTTTAAATAATTAGGTAACACTGATGAAATATACTTGAGTATTCACAATTGAAGTTTTACTTCATTAAGCTGATTCTGTTATACAACTGTGCTAATTTGCATGCTATTTTTTGCATATGTGCTGGCTTTGTAAGGTCACCCAGGCAATCTAGCGAAGTCTATCATTTGCTGGCATACAAGGGGAGGAATTTCTTCCTGTTTCTTTAACTGGAAATAAGTCCAGTTGTCTTTACTGGAAGTTATTACCAGGTAAATGAGCTTATTATTGAAAAACACAGAAATCCTATAGATTCCATGCCACACTACCACTAGAGAGACAAAAGTAAGCTGAAAATTACTTTCTTTTTGTAGAGAAAATATTAGCAGTTGAACCAATATTTGTTACAGATATCAGCAGGAAGAAGCACAAATTATTAGAAATTAGATTTTCACGGCAAGCTTTAAAACTCTACTAATTTTCTACCTGTCCCTCTTATTGTTGCTTACATTAACTATACCTTCATTTTTATTTCTTCCTCCATTTTCTTCTCTCAAATGTATATAAAGTGTGTCGTCATCTTTTAAAATATATTCCTGCTTGATTCATATTTGAACAAAATGAAACTGAAGAATACTTTCCTTATGGAAGCTGAAATGAATGCAATTAAGATACAATACGATTTTCTGTACAGAAGTGAATTTTTAGAGATAATTATGACTCTGCCCTTTGTTTTAAAGCACTTGAAAGCAAAGGCAGCTAGAATGTTCTTAATTAATAAAGACAAAATATAAAGAGCTATTGAATGCCCAGTTTCTGTGCAACTATTGTCTTATCACTTTAAAAAAAATAATTTTATAAGGTTACCCAAATATCTGTTCTTTTCCATATGTCTTTATTTGAATTTTCATAACACAGAAAAAGTGCTTATTACAATACTTACAAATATTTATAGGTTGCTTTCTAAACCTGGAGGTAAAATGAACAGGAGCTGTTATTCTGTTAAGAAATAAAATTCTTAATTAAAAGATCATGAGCCAAGGTATCCTTTTCTTCAGCTCTTACTGTTGTTTTTTGCTCTCTGAAGACAAGGTTACCTCAAGGCTCCAGGCTTACATCTAACAGGAAGGCAAAAGGCCTTACAGAAGAGTGGAATAGGGAATAATTCATAAACTTTATTTATCTAAAAAGATGTATATTGTAGCTATAGTTTTGAACTGGGGTTTGGGGTTAGTTTCAGGTTAGTGATTTACAGCTTCTGGGCCCATCATGTGAGTTTTGTTATGTTATACTTGGATATATGTGTCTTAAATTCTCTAAAGCTGTTTTTTTTTTTGTGACAGCAAATGTCTGATTCTAAAAAAGTTCGTATGATTGAAATTGAAGTACTTTTAACTGAATCTTAATACCAGCTTTTGTTTTTACCTACACAGTCCCTTCAGTCTGAATATGTTCAGTACTAAAGCCTTACTGCTTCGGTGAAAGCTGGACATCTCTTAAAAATCATTTTTCTTCAAAGAGGAAGAATGTTGAAGGAGACACTTCACTGGAGAAATACTTCTTCATACATGATTAGAACTTAACCCCCAAATCTTTGCGTAATCAGGGACTTCAGTAGTGACTACTGCAAATGCGTTGTAATTGAACTTCTGAATATTACAATTTTGTGTGCGGATCAAGATTTTAATATTGAGAATACTTCTAATGAACTGTAGCAATAGTTTATAATGATGGTTCTGGGTTCAGTATTATAATGTATATGTATTGAGTAAAAGATGTGTGTCCATGTGTACACAAAAACATGCATATTGTATAAAAATAGAGTATATTTTGGTTTAGAATTCAAGGTGGGGTGGTGTTTTTTTTTACCAAAAATGTGTATTTTTCAAATATTGTTTTATACTTCAAACGTGAGCCAAGATCCAGAGAAACGTGTCCATCTGCAGACATACTGGGCAAGCATGGCTGATAGTACTTCACACCTTGTGAGTGTGACTCCAGAGACCCCAAGCATCTGCTCAATTATGTCTGCAGATTTGGAAGCAGAATTGTACATCTCTTGATCCTGGCCATACCAATCCTGCTACTTGTTGGCTTTATTGTATCTGTCTATCACTGTGCTTTTTACTAGTGGAAAAAAATATATATTTGTCATACCACTTTTTAATTTCAGATGCTGATGTTTAAAATGTTCATTTTTAAAGGTCTGCAGGAAGTCTGTAACATAGACTTGCCTTAGCATCTTTAATTACAAAGAGAAACTAATTTTAATTAAAATCTGTATCTCTTAACTATTGTGCTCTACAATTTGTTTGTCAAAGGGTTTTACTTCTTGTGTTTTCCTTTCTGTATAGCTTTGTCTAAAAGTTGTATAATGTTACAACATGAGAAAAAGGTTGTCATAGCAGGGAAGATCTAACATACTGATTGAATTTGTAAGACTACAATGTCATCTGATTTTCATTGGGTTATTCAGTGAAATAAGAGAGACGACTTTTCTTTTTCTTATAAATTGAGACCAAGAGGCAGGAAGTCTTTCACTCACATTTTAATTATAGATTGCAAGAACATTTTAAAAGCTGTATATAACTCCTTATTTTCCACTATTTTTTATACATTCAACCATACTATCCATATTATTCTTTGCAAATGCTGTGAAGCTAGTGGCTAATGTAATCTTGAACATTTAATTCCCAGTTCATTTGAAAGCAGAGGAGAATGGACCACGAGCTGCAAATAGTCCCCAGTTCCATTTTTGTTCCCCAAGAACACCCCCACTTTAAGAGTAAAATGCCAATTTTCAACAACTTAATTTTTGGGGGCGGGGCTGTCAGTTTGAGAAATAAGGAATAGAATATGTCCATCAAGCTTTTATAAGGTTTAGCACTTCTTCCTTGTTCCAAAGGTGCTTTTTCACAAGGCAACTGGACTTTCTTGTTTTTCTTTGAAGAAAAAAATAAGGTCTTTCTTTTCTTCCTTGTTCCTTCTCATTATTTGTTCTAATGATCTTACCATGTCACTGGCTAAGAGACCTTGAGGTCCTAAACAGCAAAATATAAAGAAAATTGAAGTACAGCCCTCTGACTGTAAAACCTTATCTGCCTCTATTCACAATTATTTTTGAAACTGCATTGTCTTGGGTCTGTAGTACTAATTTAGTGCACATTCTGGATGCGCTAATTGATAACATTCACATACCATTTGTATTATGATCACAAGAATGCTCCCCTATTAATGGCTACCAAGGAAAGAATATTTTTTTTACACATTTTATGCAGCCATTCCAGTCTTCCTTGTGCAAACTATATTAACCATGGATCCTGTGGTTAGTCAAAATACTCTTATTTAATCTAAAAAAAGGAAATTATCATTCATTGTTTTATAACAGGTTAGTATGATAAAATACATTCTCATGTTTAATATTATGGTTTGTTCTGAATCTGGCAACTTAGGCTTCCAAGTTGGAACAAAATGCACAGTTCCAGTTAACTGGAAGTTTGCTAATTTGACGAATCATGTCAAGGGGAAGATCAAAGGCTGATAGATTATTTCATATCAACTAGCAATGATTGGGTATTTAAATATTTGAGGGAAATATGTAGTTCTAATTATGATGGCTAAATGTTTGGTGTTTTGTTGTCAGCTGCTTTAATTACTGAATGCAATATTTTATCAAATGTACATCAAATGTACTATATATGAGTGAATAGTAGGCAAATTCTAAGGTAATTCTACCTCTAAAATTTGACATGTATTTTGTTATTAAACTACTTATGAGACAGATGTATTATTTTTCCAATGTAGAAATATAAATGCTAATGAATGTCAGAATTATGCATAGGTTTATTTTAATCAGATATTATGAAATACAATACTATTGTTAATACCAGCAATTTGTTGTCTCGTTATTGACATGCTTGAACCATGGACCTTCTTGATCTCGTCTGTTATTTTTTTAATCTCTACTAGGAATAACCTTCAGCATGTAGAATATGTTTCCTTATAGAGAACAGCATTAGAGTGGTTAAGCAAAGATACAAAGTGGTTTTTTTGAACTGGAGAAAAAGTTGAAAGTAATGCAAATTATGGAGGAAAACAATTTTTAATCTATATTTGAATATAAAATTTAGTTTTAAAAAATGATCGAATTGGTAAGCAATATTAATGGTGCTTTCTTATTTCAGTGTGGTCATAGTCTCTGAACTTTGTTATCTGTATTTTATTTAAAAGATTCCATTTTATATTTTCTCGTGAAATGCAGTTATTCTTATAAAACATTTGGAACTATTAATGCTTATTTTTATATCAGAGTAATAAAAATTTACTTCTGTTCTTCAGATACGTTTGTTGCCATTCTCTACGCAGCAATTTGTAAATTGAGTTCCTAGCTAATCATTTTTTTTAAAATTGGGTAAGATTAAAGTAGCATTTAAAATATTTATCTAATTATTTCTGTAAGATTATGTGTACATCACCATCACAAATCAATAATTTGCAGTCTGTGTTACTGAATACCTAGATAAACAGAAAATAGTTCTTTTCTGTGCTGTACTGGGATCAGTAATAGTGACAATGGGAAATAATTTGTTAGATTTATATACTACCTTTTGTTTAGGAACTCAAAGTGGCAGGCATTATTTCATACTTACTATTTAATTTAGAAAGCTGTCTAACTCGCAGTTTAGGCAGTTTATGTAATATGCTATTGAGCAAAAATCAAGAACATGGTGTATAACCTCAAACTAACCAGAGGGAAGTTCAAAAGTAATGTTAGAAAGTATTCCCAGAAAGAGTAGGAGAAACCTGGGACCAACTTCCAGTGAAGGTAGTGGATCAATCATCAATAACTGAATTTAAACATACTTGGGATAAACACATGTCGATCATCTGACAAAAATTAAAAATTAAATATAAATAAATATAAAAATAATAATTAAAAATATAATATGCAGTTAAAAAGAAAACAAGAAACAAACTCAAAAGGGCATATTCAATAGACTCCTAGGTCTTTTTCTGCTATCAGCTTTCTCTGTTTCTACGTAATTACAAAGGGAAAAAAAACATTAAAACAATTACAAGAGAAAAGGACATGTAACATCTGGACAAAACCACTCATTACATTACAAAAAAGCATCAGGCACTCAACAACAACCTAACCCCAAGTCTGGGAGCAAAACCAACTTTTCAATGACTTGTGGAACCCTTGCAAAACGGGAACTATGCATATCTCCAAGGGAATGCTGTTCCAGAATTGCTGTTACACAAAAGGCCACATAGGAATATTGTACAGATGGTCCTTGCTTAATAACACTAACTGTGACCAGAAACTCTGTCATTAAGCAATATGGTTATGTCAAAAAAAACCAACAACAACACATGACCATGCTGCTTAGCAATGGCAGTTCCGGCACCTCCGGTTGCCATTGTTAAGTGAGCACTATACAGGTAGGTAAGCAAGGATCTCGTATGATCATGACTTGCAACATTCTGCTGACTTCCTCATTGACTTTGCTTGTGAAAAACCAGCAGGGAAAGTCCCAAATCACAATCAACGTGACCGTGGGGATGTTGCAACAGCTGTAAGTACAAGGACCAGTCATAATTTTCATTGATTCAATGCCCTCATAAGTTTGAATGATCACTGGATGAGTGGTCATTAAACAAGGAACATCTGTAGTCCAAGGCCTCCATCCCATGCCTATTCCAGGCTACAGCCAAGGCTGTGCCAAATTGCTCACCAGATCCTCAGGGAAAATCCCAAGCTCCGTCTAGAACCCAAAATGGTCTTTAAATTGTCTGGGATGGGCCAATCCAGCATGCCCTGTCTTCCTTAGAGCGTTGGTGACATCAAGTTGGAAGAATTTTGTCCACAGGAATTGACTGATGTTAATATTCTCCAATGACACATCACATCATAACTGCTGTGTGAAAAAAGTAGATTAATTATTAGAGTGCAACTCCTGGTATATGTCAAGCCTTTGATTATTTGGAACAGATGCCTGATTGTCAGGATGGCCATGAGCCCTAAGCTGCTATGGACTCAATATCCCCTGGAGCAGGGTTCTTCAAACTTGGCCCTTTTATGACTTGTGGACTTCAACTCTCAGAATTCCTCAGCCAGCATGCCTGGCTGAGGAATTCTGGGAGTTGAAGTCCACAAGTCATAAAAGGGCCAAGTTTGAAGAACCCTGCCCTGGAGGCATATTAAAATCCCTGAGAGCTACTATCCTCATAGAGTCCACCACCAACTCAGTAATGGAATCCAGCAGTTCCAACAGGAAAGATGCTATGCTGCAGGGATGGCAGTACAACAGTAGTAGTCCCAACTGTTCTCCAAAACCTGAGTTCATCTAGAAGTTCTCATATCCAGTTAGATCAGGAGTGGTGATTTATGGCCTTTTTATGAGTTGTGGACTTCAACTCCCAGAATTCCTGAACCAGCATGGTTGGCTCAGGAATTCTGGGAGCTGAAGTCCACAAGTCATGAAGGGGCCATAGTTCCCCACCTCTGAGTTACACCCTTCACCCCTATCTAGTACTACTGTCAACCAGGTTTTCACTACAGTTACTTTCTTTCTTTGATTTTTATTTTCTTGAAAATGATGGAACAGGCTTCAAGGAAGTTAGGTCAGCTGTGAGTGAAAAAATATATCAGTCCAATTTAGTTACTCATTTCTGTATTTGTAGTTTCAATTTGTTTCATTTCCATACAGGTTTCAAAACTGGGATCAAAACGGCACGTATTTTTCTGCAAATTAATACATTACACAAAATTTCAAACATCTACATTTGAAAAGTTGTGTAATATATTAACTTTACACACAACGTTACTTAACGTAGAGGAGATTATATTAGCAGGCCAGCTCAGTAATATAACAATCCTTGTTGCCAAGGAACAGGAAGCATGTAATCAAAGGAGGGTTTGAATATTGCAATTAAGACATGCTCTAAAAAATTGGGTCATATATTTTGAAAATGGTAGAAGCATTGAACCATAAAACAAACCTAGAGTTAAGAATGTGTGTAAGCAAGAGTTTTTGTACAGTTTGTGTTGAACAACAGTGGTAGGAGGAGGGCAGAAGAGCAGGGAACAGAAGTACCATCTCAAACAAAAGGTGACTCAGGAACCACAGTGGGTGGAGGGAGGGGTAGGGGGAGAAAGATCAATTTCTGCAACAGCTGCCTTTTCAGAGCAAGTTGGATTTTCTTTTCACTCCCCTTCTCCCTCCTATAGTCTCTGAATAATTCATAAAGATCAGACGCAGAAGCACTACATCTTCCTGGTGCTGATGTAGATACAGCAAGCATTTTGAGAAGCTCAAGAGAGAGAGCCACATCTTCAGATGCACTGCTCAGACCTCTTAGGATTTCTGGTATTTCTTTTCCTTCTTTGAGGAATGTTCCTCGTCTTCCAGTCTTAGGATGCTCATTGTTACCTGAGAAGGTCCTGGGCATCTAGAAAGGGATCTATGTGGTTGAATTACTTTTTGCTCTGGATTTATTTTTTAATTTAAAAAAAAATTTTTTTTTGCTTATTCGCAACTGCTACACTTCACGCAGACTACATCTTTCTGGATCTCGTTGCTAGTTCAGACAATGCTGCATCTTCCTCGCTTTATTTTCTGAATCCCATATATGCTTTTTTGAGTCTTGCTTATAGTCGAATCTGGAATGCTCGGGGAGTTTTATAGACTTCTCTGGGATCCAGTTTGTCTGCTTCTCTTAGATGTTATCTGCATTCTTTGGGATGCCTTCGACTTTTCCATCTTTGGCTGTCTGTTGTGTATAGTCTTGTAGACATGTCTTGATTTCTGAATTATCACCTCTAGAATCAAGCAGGGAATATGTTTGTTTGAGGTTCGAGAAAGTTTAACTTCTCTGCAACAAGATGGTCAATACTTCTTCCTTCTCCTCTTCCCGGAGCTCCAGACCCCTACAACTGTTCCTTTGTCATGAAGATTCCCTAGGAACTAGGCTGCCTTTGTCTCTACTCTATCTGTTGTTGGCTATCTCTGGAACTTTATCCAACTTCATGGTTATTTATATGGTCTTCGCTTCCAGAAAGCTGCATATCATCAGCAATGCTTTCATTGTGAATGGTTGTATCGCTGACCTGAGTGTGTGTGGTTTTTGGATGCCACAAGAAGCAATGCAGGGATTGCTACCTTCTGGTTCCCCTACGGCTCATTCAGAAAGCTACCGCTTACTCCGGATGAGTCTTGTTGCTCTTGGGCTGTTTGTTTCATTACTTTCCCACCTCTTGGTGGCCCTCAACCGGTACGTGCTCATCACCAAACCACACATCATATACCAGACTGTTTATCAGAGGAAGCATGCTACTTGGATGATAGGTTTCGCCTGGCTATTTGCTCTTCTCCTTGCCTTGGTTCCACCAGGATTGGAAACATGGCAACCGATCCAGCAAGAGTCTAAAAATGCCACCAGTAACAACAGCTCTAACTATGCAAGTTTAGGAATAGCCCTTGCTATTCTCAGCCAGACAGTTCTCCTGCTCCATTGCTACATGAGGATTGTGAAGCGGGTTCAAGGCAGCATCAAACGGGTCAGTGTCCTTGACTTCCATCTGCTGCAACAGTTGCCCTTTCTCAATACTACTGGCCAACCTCCCCGTCGGGCCCAGCGCCATTTGAGCAGCATCTCTGTGTTGGTCCTTTGTCTGATATTCCTCCTGGCAACCCAACCACTGGTGTGGGTAAGCCTCCTGAGCTTTTTCTTTCAGCCTGCCCCCCGGGGGCTGCAGTTATCCAGCTGGCTCCTTTTCTGTTCTCTCTCTGCCTTCAACCCACTGCTCTATACTTGGAAGAATGAAGAATTTCGGCGTTGCTTGCGCCTAATACTACATGGAAGAGAAGGTAGAACTGTAGCAGT